AAGATAATATCGATAGCAAGATTTTAATGCAAACAAACAGACAAAGACTAAAAAGTAGAAAATAATAATCATTAAAAAAGTTTTAAAAAACCCACGTTTTCTGATTGAACTAAAAAGTAGAAAATAAATGCTATAAATCACAATAATGCAAGCGATCACTCTACTATAAGCGATCAAAAACGTGGGCGCCGTGATTTTCTTACAGTTTCTAATACTGTTGACTCTCTACAAGCTCCCTAATAAAAGTCAATAGTATTATCTAATCAATAGTAATTAAACTTTTACTTCGGCGCCCCACGTTTTTGATCGCTTATAGTAGAGTGATCGCTTGCATTATTGTGATGTATAGCATTTATTTTCTACTTTTTAGTTCAATCAGAAAACGTGGGTTTTTTAAAACTTTTTTTAATGATTATTATTTTCATGTTTCTTAATAGTTTTACACCGATAAGAAAGAAATACTTTTATATAAGTTTTTTTGTATATGTGTCTTTCACATTTGTATAAATATGTATGCAGATATACATTATATATATATATATATATATATATATATATATATATATATATAATGTATCTCTGTAGTTTTCCATGACCAAGCTTGCTACCCTGTACCAGGATAAGCTAGAGACGCTGGATTTGCATGGTTGTGTGGAATGGGAAAAAAATGATACTTTTGTCGGACATTTGGAAACTTTTCAAAAATTAAGAAACTTTTCGATGACTATCTTTGCCGTGAACAAAATAACACAAAAAGTAACTACCTTACCAAATAGTCGTATATATATATATATATATATATATATATATTTATATATATATATATATATATATATACATATATATATATATATATATATATATATATATATATATATATATATATATAGAGAGAGAGAGAGAGAGAGAGAGAGAGAGAGAGAGAGAGATATTAAATTGACTCAATAGTCAACAGCGTCATTTTACCTTGCAATGTTCGGTTTAGAATTACAGTTGTCATCATAGGCTTAGGTATTGATACAGATGTACACTAGTAATACTTCTTTCTGACACGTACTTTAGTCTAGCCATGCAGTACTTAAAATTAGGGAAATAAATTGGCATAAAAACTCTATTAAAATAATCCTGGAAGGGGATGCTACTCTGCGACTTCCGACACTTTAGTTGACTGTTGCCCCATCCTCAGCTGTGAAGCTAAAAGTTGACATGGTGGCGACCCATAGCTATTGGGAAATAAGATCGTGTGAAAAAAGATCGCGATATTACTGACATATTAATCCGTACATCCTAAATTTGCGTAACTCATTCGTGCAGGTGTCCGTTCAGACATTTGTCGCATTCGGTCAAGTATCCATTCGGGCATTTGTCGCACTCGGGCAAGTGTCCGTTCGGGAAATCGGCCTTCGGGCAACCTCAAACGGCATTCCGGCAAGTGTCTTTCGGGAAACGTCCGGCTCCCGTTGTCGTTGTAATCGCTTTGTTTACACGCGTTTTTGTCAAATGTATTTTTCCAGGTTAAGTTTTTGAGGAATTTGTGTGCTATGCTGAAACGACACAGAACCTTAAAAAATGTTAGCCTCAACTTTATCTGCCTAAAGACGGTCAACCCTGGCCTGAGCCGGCACGTGGACAGCTGCACGCGAGACATGGAACCCTATATGGATCGTCTGTTCTTCAAGGTCAACTTTGTCATCAAAGGTGTTTAAATGTAAAATTGACTTACTTTTAATATGGATTAGTTGTCCTTGAGGCAGCCTTCTAACTCATTCAATAAATTTTAATTAAAATGTTCATAAAAATGATTATACTTTTCTGAAAATAAATAAATTGTATTGAATAATTAATCAACCAACTGTTTAATTGCAACTTTCTCTGGACTATTGCAATTTTCTCTGGACAATTGCAACTTTCTCTGGACAATTGCAACTTTCTCTGGACAATTGCAACTTTCTCTGGACAATTGCAACTCTCTCCGTACAACTTGACCAGCGCTTGTTACAAGAAGAGAATGTTTTACACACGAATGTTTTTGGTAGAATAAAATCGGATATTCCCGTCGGATATTCCCAGATTGGTAGTGTGAGATAGGGTGAGAGAACACACACAGGACCCTACAATACAATAATGCAGCTACAATAGATATTTACAGACGTGTCAAGGATGGGAGAATTTGTCTCCTCATGTTTCACTAACGATTTTCCGATATTCTCCGCTAAATACTGTGGGTGCATCGGCTCAGTTAGTTTTTGTTACAGAATCAAAGTTCATGAAGTTATGTTGTTCTATTTTGTTTTATCGGTTAGACTTTAGACTGGTGGTGTAGGGTAGCAGCATTACACACTGCTTTTGATGATTAATTTTTTTTTATATTATTTTCGACAAAATTGGAGCTGTTTAGAATGATTGAGTAAATGAATGGCCATAACTAAATTGACATGAGGCCTCCGATTATTATTGTTAACATGGATTAAAAAAAAAATGTCAGTTTAGCATTCATAACTGGCTGGGAAAAATCAGAAATAAAATGTTTTAAAAATCTTCTGAACTTGTTGAATATTTTGTTGGTTGTGGTTTTTTTTTGTTATTGTTGTTTTTTTTTTTTTGTAGAATTTTCACTATTGGGTAAATGGATACCATTAATGTACACATTCAATTTTAATGGACCGAAAATAGTCTTGAAACTATTCGAAAGGCCTTGGCCTTGTTGCTACATGTGTTGGTTGGCCTTGTTGCTACATGTGTGGGTGGCCTGGTTGCTACATGTGTGGGTGGCCTGGTTGCTACATGTGTGGGTTGGCCTGGTTGCTACATGTGTGGGTTGGCCTGGTTGCTACATGTGTGGGTTTGCTTGGTTGCTACATGTGTGGGTTTGCTTGGTTGCTACATGTGTGGGTTGGCCTGGTTGCTACATGTGTGGGTTGGCCTGGTTGCTGCATGTGTGGGTTGGCCTGGTTGCTGCATGTGTGTGTTGGCCTGGTTGCTACATGTAAGGTTGGCCTGGTTGCTGCATGTGTGTGTGGCCTGGTTGCTGCATGTGTGGGTTGGCCTGGTTGCTACATGTGTGGGTTGGCCTGGTTGCTGCGTGTGTGGGTTGGCCTGGTTGCTACATGTGTGTGTGGCCTGGTTGCTGCATGTGTGGGTTGGCCTGGTTGCTACATGTGTGGGTTGGCCTGGTTGCTGCGTGTGTGGGTTGGCCTGGTTGCTACATGTGTGGGTTGGCCTGGTTGCTACATGTGTGGGTTGGCCTGGTTGCTACATGTGTGGGTTGGCCTGGTTGCTGCATGTGTGGGTTGGCCTGGTTGCTACATGTGTTGGTTGGCCTGGTTGCTACATGTAAGGTTGGCCTGGTTGCTGCATGTGTGGGTGGCCTGGTTGCTGCATGTGTGGGTTGGCCTGGTTGCTACATGTGCTGGTTGCCTTGTTGCTGCATGTGTGGGTTGGCCTGGTTGCTACATGTGTGGGTTGGCCTGGTTGCTGCATGTGTGGGTGGCCTGGTTGCTGCATGTGTGGGTTGGCCTGGTTGCTACATGTGTGGGTTGGCCTGGTTGCTACATGTGTGGGTTGGCCTGGTTGCTGCATGTGTGGGTTGGCCTGGTTGCTACATGTGTGGGTTGGCCTGGTTGCTGCATGTGTGAGTTGGCCTGGTTGCTGCATGTGTGGGTTGGCCTGGTTGCTGCATGTGTGGGTTGGCCTGGTTGCTACATGTGTGGGTTGGCCTGGTTGCTGCTTATGTGGGTTTGGCCTGGTTGCTGCATGTGTGGGTTGGCCTGGTTGCTACATGTAAGGTTGGCCTGGTTGCTGCTTATGTGAGTTGGCCTGGTTGCTGCATGTGTGGGTTGGCCTGGTTGCTGCATGTGTGGGTTGGCCTGGTTGCCACATGTGTGGGTTGGCCTTGTTGCTGCATGTGTGGGTTGGCCTGGTTGCTACATGTGTGGGTTGGCCTGGTTGCTGCATGTGTGGGTTGGCCTGGTTGCTACATGTGTGGGTTGGCCTGGTTGCTACATGTAAGGTTGGCCTGGTTGCTGCATGTGTGGGTTGGCCTGGTTGCTACATGTGTGGGTTGGCCTGGTTGCTGCATGTGTGGGTTGGCCTGGTTGCTGCTTATGTGGGTTTGGCCTGGTTGCTGCATGTGTGGGTTGGCCTGGTTGCTACATGTAAGGTTGGCCTGGTTGCTGCTTATGTGGGTTGGCCTGGTTGCTGCATGTGTGGGTTGGCCTGGTTGCTACATGTAAGGTTGGCCTGGTTGCTGCTTATGTGGGTTGGCCTGGTTGCTGCATGTGTGGGTTGGCCTGGTTGCTGCATGTGTGGGTTGGCCTGGTTGCTACATGTGTGGGTTGGCCTGGTTGCTGCATGTGTGGGTTGGCCTGGTTGCTACATGTGTGGGTTGGCCTGGTTGCTGCGTGTGTGGGTTGGCCTGGTTGCTGCATGTGTGGGTTGGCCTGGTTGCTGCATGTGTGGGTTGGCCTGGTTGCTACATGTGTGGGTTGGCCTGGTTGCTGCATGTGTGGGTTGGCCTGGTTGCTGCATGTGTGGGTTGGCCTGGTTGCTGCATGTGTGGGTTGGCCTGGTTGCTACATGTGTTGGTTGGCCTGGTTGCTGCATGTGTGGGTTGGCCTGGTTGCTACATGTGTGGGTTGGCCTGGTTGCTGCATGTGTGGGTTGGCCTGGTTGCTGCATGTGTGGGTTGGCCTGGTTGCTGCATGTGTGGGTTGGCCTGGTTGCTACATGTGTTGGTTGGCCTGGTTGCTGCTTATGTGGGTTGGCCTGGTTGCTGCATGTGTTGGTTGGCCTGGTTGCTGCTTATGTGGGTTGGCCTGGTTGCTGCATGTGTGGGTTGGCCTGGTTGCTGCATGTAACGTTGGCCTGGTTGCTTCTTATGAGGGTTGGCCTGGTTGCTGCATGTGTGGGTTGGTTTGTGTTGGGTCAGAATTCCACAAGCATCCTTTCACTATATAATTACAGGGTACACAGTAGGGATGGACAGTAGGTGACACGTTCAAAGAGACTGACCGCTCTGACAGGACAATAGTAGCAGGCATTCAGCGAATTAATAAAATAAACAGCATAAACTAAGAAGGTCTCCTGTCCCGTTGATTATTTTACTGTAGCTGACTCGGGTAGAATCATTAAATACCCCTAGACAACGACGGCCTTATCGGCTAGTGCCCGAGCCAGTGTCAGCAACGTATTCGGCCGGCGACTAAGCAACCAGATGGCAACATCGTAGTCCGGTCTGCAACAGAGTTCTATTTTAGATATATAAACACAATTTCACATGTAAGTCAAAGATCTAATTCTCTACTTTTTATTCAATTTTGAGTAATTTCCATTAACCAGAAGTGGTGATTTACGCTATTTCAAATTTCTCAAAAAAACGCATGTACATTTATGAAGTACTAATAATATAGCGCAATATTGAGCACATCTTTATGTGGCGTTCACTTGGTGAGCAATTCTTTACTTTACGAGATTTTATTTTGCTTAGGAGTAGGTTGTCACCGTTCCGTCACTGCTTTTAATGCTGTGGAAGTGTTTGTTGTTGGCGTGTATTTGCTCGAGTATTATATTGTTGTGTTAGGTTCATTCACTCCATAAATTATTAATGCTTCTGTGAAAATGAGAGCGCCTTTATATTTATGTGTATGGAACGTGTTTAGTTTTCCCAGTTTCTTCTATTTGTCTAGAGTGCTTTTACAAATAATTAGTGTGTCTAATTGAGTTTCTAACTATTTCTCTTGTTGGTTTCTTGCAATGCTGATTTTCCTAGCTATTTCAATAATGAGTTTTGTTATTACATGTTTAGATGCTTCCCAGAGTTCTAATACTTGGAATTGTTAGTGTGTCCTTAATTTATATACCTTCTACATTACATTGTATTCATGTGTTTTTCCAATGACCTGTTTGATTTTACATTTGTAAATTTATCATTTTTGTGACAATCATGTTGGAGTTTATAAAATTCAAATTTTGATTAGTTAAAAAAAACACATAATGGCTGTGGCAGATAGTAAGTACACATGCATAGAATGAAAGACTACACACGCCATTGTCAATGTAGTCTGAACGATACACTCGTTATAAAAAAAGTATCTTGTACATAAGAAAGCTACTGTTTTACTGTCCTATATAATACGCTTGTAACCTTATATGTCTGCAATCTCTTACCACGTAAAATCCATCAAGTTTAACATGACTCACTCCATTATTTACATCGTCAAATCAAATTTAAATACAGCATCTATAGGCATTACTAAACCATTACATCATCTTCTACTCCATTACCATTTTGATGTCCCATCCCCACAACATCACACCATCCCCAACACTGCCCTACACCATAAACATTACACATTGTAATTAATGGCACTAAAAGTTACACGTCTAAATTTTCTAGTTTGGTTTTTGATAGTACTTTGTAGAGTTATGCCCCATGTACACATTTTATTTATGTAAGGGAATTAATTCAAAACTGAAATTGGATACGCTATTTTAAGATTTTTTCAAGAGTAATTTATAAAAATGCTACAAATTGTTCTTTTTTCATAATAAAACAGTATTGTGGTAAACTACTACATGTCAATATCGAATGATGAAAGTATAAGTATCTTTTCTATATGTATACAAAAATATAAAGCTTAAATAAATACGTGTTACGTTTTGTAGACTAACGTCGCTTTACTTTTTATATCATGGGTGTCCCTAGTTCTGCACTTAGCCTTATTCAATTTTTCTTATAAAATTAAATTTAAAAATAATGACCAAAACATTAAAAATGTAGTAAAAGAATATTTCAATACGTTATTCCGTAATGTATGTATATGTACTACACGTACCCGTTTAAAACCGTCTTCTATAACTATACTGTATTAGAGATTATCCAACAAGTTGATGTGTTATGAATATGTCCCTTGCACTCGAATGTCAACATCTATGATTATACACTACACAAAAAAATCACCTCCACAATATTTATCGTGACGCACTCAATTACTTAATCCTTCACTATATCACCCGCACCATAACCATTTAACTTTCTAATACAAAAACTATCCACCCCTCATATCATTACCATCACACACCCACATTAGAAACACCATCACAATTACAATTCTTCGATATACCGCACTTAGAACATTATCACTACTCATGCTATGGCTGTTCGTCTATTACTATAGGCCTACACCTGTGTTAAGTATTGCATAAATATACTTTGCAGCTAGTCTGTCTTCAAATATCCATACAAGTAATGCGGGCGGTTATTAGAAATGGTATTTTTATGCTGTAAATCGCTTATGTGCAATAATAAAATACACTGCATGTACTGGTAATCTACATCAAAACCATAGTTAAATGTTATTTTAATGTAACGATAAACTAAAACTAAAGCTTCTTAACGTATTGTTGTCTACCATGTTATGTCGTGTTGAGTCAATCATATTCATAAAAGGTGGCGATTATATGTGTCAATATCTAAAAGAAAACATAGGATTTCAGACATTT